CCTCGGCGTGGCCCCGAGCCGGGCCGGGGACTGAGCCGGGCCTCGGCCCTGTGGGCTGCGGGGCAGGCGCCAGTGTCCACCCTTTCGACCGGCCGGGGTACCCCGCTGCCCTGGCCCCTGCCCAGAGCCCGGTGGGGGCCCCGCTGAGGAGGGGAGAGGGCACCGAGCGGTGCCTGCCTCCCTGCCCTTGTCCGGCAGTGACTGGCTCCCGGCAGGCCTCTGGAGGCCTGAGTCCCAGGCCCAAGGACTCATGCATCCCCCACGATCCCTGCTCTGAGCCTCAGTCTCCGCCCCTGTGCAATGGGCTAGTGGTGCTATGATTCCCACAGGTCCCTTTTGCACGGTTGGGCTGTTAGCCCGGAAGGCAGAGGGCCGGGGCAATTTCCTTTCTGCTCCCTGGGAGGCCTGTTTCCTCTTATTTCCCGGGGCCTGGGGGATGGGGAGAGGGTCGGGGTCTGGCTGGGTACCTTAGGCGGCTGTCCAGGCTAGTAATGCTGGGATTGGAACTAGCCCTGTCCGCTGGGAGGCGGAGAGAGAAACTGAGGCGGATGATTGTGATGGTTGGAAGACCTGGAATCAGCTGTGGGCGTGGATGCTCCCTCTTGTCACCCTGGGGAAGGGGCTTCACCTCTCTGAGCGTCCGTTTCTCTGTCTGAAAACCGGGATTAGCAGCCCCTCCCTCCCAGGATGGATGCTAGGGCTCCCTGGCACTTTCCACCAGGTGCTCGCCAAAGGTAAGCTCCCCATTGGTGTTACTGTGGCTGAGGTCGCGCTTGTGCAGCATGTGACCTTGGGTGATTCGCTTCTCCTAAAGCCTCCGTGTGCCCTTCTGTCCAGGTGGCCCCACTGTGCCCTCCCGACTTCCCGTCCTCCCAGGGCTTCAGCAGCAGGTTTCAAGTTTGTTGTTTGTTCTCTGGAGGACCCCAGCCCTGGTCTCTGGGAAGCCCATGTGGCCATGTTTACTAGAAAGTAGTGTCCAGTTGAGGATCTGCTGCCCTGGTGGGGATGCCAGGACCCTAGGGCCCCCCAGTCCGCCTGGAAGGTGGGGAATCCTCCCCAGTGTTGGCGATCGTGTTACCTCACATCTGGGAAGACCCTGATCTGGTGTCCCGCTTCTGTGGGGCCCCTGTACCTGACCTGGCCAGGGCCCGCCGAGTCCCGGTGTGGGGAGGCTTGGGCCTTGCTCCGCCTAGTGGGGGCAGAGTGGGAACCTGCACCCAGGCCTCAGCCTCCTGAGTGGAGGAGGGAGCTGGGAGCTTTATAAATAGAGGCTTTCTCTGGCTCTGCACGCCCACCCCCTGCTGCTGCCATCTTGCAGGGAGCAGCCTGGGACTGCAGGCATGAGCTTCTGAAGCACTGGTCCCTTGCCCGAGGCAGGGATGGGGCAGGGGGGGCAGGCCCGAGGAGGGAGGGGCCTGAACTGTGAACTGAGCAGGAGGGGGCACTCGGGACCTGCCCGAGCCCAGTCTGCCCTGGGATAGGAGTCAGCCAGGAGAGATGGGAAGGGGGTGTTTTAGTATCAGCGTACCGGCAGCCCCTCTGTGTGGGTCCTGGGACGTGCTGGGAACACGCTCAGCCGTTCCGTGTAGCAGGGACACCTTTAAGATCCGCACCCCACTCCATCTGGTAGGGAACCGGACCTGGGCTGGGGGAAGGAATCTGGAGGGCAGGACCCGTTTGGCATGGGTGATGCTGGGGTGGCTGCCTAACCCCTGAACTGTGCCTTGAAGTCAGGAGGGGTTTGTGAAGTTGGTCCAGATGGTGGGAACGACCCAGCCAAGGGCACTGAGGAAGGAAAGCCTAAGGCATGTCAGGGTAAGCTGCCAGTGGGCGTGGGAGTGGCCTGTAGAAGTGATAGTACTAATACTACCAGTAGTAGTTAAAGTCATAGTAACGGCAGTGGAAGGAGTGATAACAGTAAAAGCCGCGGGGTGGAGACATCGTCAGCACCTGCACAGGCAGCAGGGGACGTGGGGTGGGTGCCCAAGAAGTTGGGGAAGCCGGTAGGACTTTGAACCTGGGTGGACATGAGGTGTGAGGACAGGTGGCCATGGAGCTCGGGCGGAAGGGTTGCTGTTAATCTTGGTAGGGCAGGTGCATGTCGCCTAGACCTGGGTGCGTGGCTCTTACCACTGGGATAGGGAGGTCCCTAGGTAGTTCCTGAGAGCCAAGGAGGGACCCGAGGCAGGAGGCCTGTTATAAATGACGACCCCAGCTAATGCTCATGAGACCTGTGCCATGTGCCGGCCACAGAGCTGAGCACCGTCCAGATATTCTGAGATACATCCCCCTATGCCCAGGCGGGAAGCTGAGGCCCGGAGAAGCAACTGCCTCTCTGAGCCTCAGTTTCCTCATCTGGAAAATGGGACTAATGCCCCGTCCTCAAAGGGCTGGGTGAGGTAGGCCTGTTCAGGGCCTGGCTCCAGGAGGCCTTAGTTTGTCGAAGGTGAGGAGGTTGAGGAGCTGGGGGAGGTCAGGGGAGACCAGGGGCAGCGGGTCCAGGTGGGGAGCTGCAGGCTATAGCCCTGGCCTGCTCAGCCCTGCAGGGAGGAAGAAACCCAAGCCCTGTTGCATAATTGATGGCTGCCGGGCAGCCTGACTATCAGTGGCTGCCTCCCGCTCCCTGCAGCTCGAGCTGTCTTTGATCTCTGGATAATTTATTGTGCCAAATAGTCCGGGAAGGGCCTCCAGACCCCCTGGGCCATGATGGCCAGGATTCCTGCTCAGTCTGCTCTTTGCTCAGCCTCAATGGCATCATCTGTGAAATGGGAAGCCTGACCTGACTTGCCTTGAAGGGCTGTTAGAGCTGTGGGTGGGCCATCAGTATGAAGCCCTTACTGAGCCCAGGGTCTGGACCCAGAGACGGTTGACAGCACCTGTCGTCATTACCATCCATATTCCTGCAATGTTCATCCTTTTGCTGTTTGGCCGCAACCTTGAGCAGGCTCCTTCCCCTGGCTGGAGACGGCCTTCCTGTCTGTTTGGAAAACAGAGACACTTGTCCTAGGGCCTTTCTAGAGCAGAGGGGCCAGGACTTGGGCTGGTTTCTGGTTGTTCCTAGGAGGCCCCCATGGCTTCTGACAGCTCTAATGGGGGAACAGTGGAACCGTCCCTGCCCTGCCCTGCCCTGGTGTGGGGCTGCCCTAGGTGTGCTCAGAGTTGGCTCTGACGGGCTGGCGGTGTTCCCCATCCAACACACCGGGCGACCGGAGGCCAGCCGTGTGGTCCTCTCCCACGCAGCCCTTCCTTCCCAGCCTCTCCTCCCAGCAGCTCTTAGCAGCAGCGGCACCTTGCACTGAACACCGGCTCCCTGCCAGACTCTGGCCTGTGTCTTACCCACATCTTCCTTCTTCCATGCTCCCCACCCATGAAGGGGATGCTCTTACTTAGTATCCCCACTTGCAGCTCAGGAGACTGATGCCTAGAGAGGCAAAACCACTTGCCCAGAGTCACAGGGCTCATCAGTGGCGGAACGGAGACTTGCCTTGGGTCCCTCTGATCCTGAAACCGCTCACTCCCCTCGCATCCCTTCCCCAGGAGCTCCCAGCCCCCCGACCGAGCCTCCTGGTAACCCAAGAACTTGCTTTGTGCCCTGTTTATCCTGTGAGCGCTTCCCACCAAATTCCTTCCTATAGGTTCAGGCCCGAGGGACCCTTTGCAGTGGGTTCCCAAGGGTTTCTTTCCCCTTTGAGTTATATGCTAGATTTTGTGCCAATGTGCTTTGGGGGTGGGGAAGGGGGTCTATAGCTTTCAGTGGATTTCCAAAAGAAGCCACGATCCCCAAACTCTGGTCCAACCACCTTGTTTCACAGAGGGGCAAACGGAGGCCCAGAGCAGAGTCCTGACTTGGTCAGGGTTGCAGAGCAGGTTGGGACTGAGCTAGTTTCTTGACCTTGGCGCCTGGATTCCAGCTAGTGGGGCGGGGTGGGTGTGGGGGAGTGCAGAGAGCCCTCCCTTCCTCCCTCTGAGTCCTCCCCATCCCCGGACCCTCCTCCCCTGACAGTTCACAGAGGAGAAATTCGGCCAGGCTGAGAAGACCGAGCTCGATGCCCACTTTGAGAACCTTCTGGCCCGGGCGGACAGCACCAAGAACTGGACGGAGAAGATCCTGAGGCAGACGGAGGTGCTCCTGCAGCCCAACCCCAGTGAGTGGCCTGGGGCTGGTCCTGGGGTGAGGGCAGGAAGCTGGTGGCTGAGGCTCACAGGTGGGACTGGCCGGTGGGGGTGGGTGAGATCCTGATTTAGACTTTAGGGGCTTAAGGCTGCTGTGGGGGGTCCCCAGTTAAAGAAAACAACAGGGTCGGTACTGGGCTCTAAGATGCACTCTCGGGGGCAGTGGAAATGTTAAGCTTGGCCCAGATGACTTGAAATGCCTGGAAACTGAAAAGCACTTGGGAGAAGAGGCAGGAAAAACAGCAGCCGGGTCACCTGAGAGAGCGCAGCACGGCCCAGAGGTGGCGGAGGGCCTGCCCAGTCCCACAGCAGCCTGGAGCAAGGACCAAACTGCGGGAGAGCCTGGGGAACGGGTGGGAATGCTGGGACCTGCAGCAGGCATCTCGTGTCTCTGAGCTGCTGCGGCTTCCTCCTCTCTAGGGGGAAGGAGTCCTCAGGGCGGCGGGTCAGTAGCACGGGTGTGCATCTGCAAGAGAATATTCTGGAAGTCACCAAGCTGCTGTGGGCAGGGCCTGCTCTGGGCCTGTTTCTGTCACCATGGCCTTCACCCTTGGGTGGGACCAGAGGGCGCCGTGAGTGACTTGGCCTCTGTCTCCCCCAGGTGCCCGAGTGGAGGAGTTCCTGTACGAGAAGCTGGACAGGAAGGTGCCCTCGCGGGTCACCAATGGGGAGCTGCTGGCTCAGTACATGGCAGAGGCGGCCAATGAGCTGGGGCCCACCACTCCCTACGGTGAGTCAGGCCCCCAGCCGGTGGACGAGGTGGCCTCTCCCTCTCTGAGTTTCCTCCCTCCCCCCTCAAATGCTGGAGATGAAAACAGAGTGCGAAATGAGGCCTCTCCTGGGCAGCTTGGCTCGTGTGCGGTGTGTAATGGGATCAGAGTGCAGGTCTGTTCTGCAACCTGATTTTTAAACTTGGCATTGCATCCTCGATATCTGTGGATTTTCTACGTTTCCTTCTGTTGTTGATTTCTAATCTAATTGCACTCTGGTCAGAGAACGTACTTTGTATGATTTGAATCCTGTTAAACGCATTAAGACTAGTTTATGGCCTAGAGTATGGTCTCGCCTGGAGAATGTTCCGCGTTCACTGGAGAAGATTGCTGGGTAGAGTGGTGTAGAGATGTCAGTGAGGACAAACGGGTTGATAGTGTTGGTTAAGGCTCCTGAATCCTTGCTGATTTTGTCTTGTTGTCCGATCCATTATTGAGAGTATTGGGTCTCCAACTGTTTCTGTTCAGCTCTCTGCTTCTGTCTTAAATCTGTATATGGCCCTGGCTGGTTTGGCTCAGTAGTTAGAGCGTCAGCCCTCAGACTGAAGGGTCCCGGGGTTCGATTCCGGCCAGGGGTACTTACCTCGGTTGTAGGCTCGATCCCCGGCCCGTGTGTCTCTCTCACATCAGTGTTTCTCTCGCTGTCTCTCTTTCTCCCTTCCACTCCCTGAAAAGCAATGGAAAAAATATCCATGAGTGAGGAGCCAAAAAAAAAATCTGTAAATCTGTTGCTAAGTCTGTATGTTTGTATTGTGTATTTTCCTGATGAACTGACTCATTTTTGTAACACATTGCTCTCTGTCTCTAGTAACTTTTTTTGGGGTCTTAATTTTATAGCCACTCTTGTTCTCTTATGGTTACTATTTGCACAGTATACCGTTAGGCCATTTATTAAGTTCAAAGTGTGTCTCTTATATACAGCATATATTTAGATCTTTATTAAAAATACAGTCTAGCCCTGGCGGCATGGCTCAGCAGTTGAGCGTCAACCTAGGATCCAGGAGATCGAGGTTCGATTGCTGGTCAGGACACATGCCTGGGTTGCGGGCTTGATCCCCAGTGGGGGGCGTTGCAGGAAGCAGCTGATCTATGACTCTCATCATTGATGTTTCTCTCTCCCTCTCCCTTCCTCTTTCTGAAATCAATAAAAATATATTATTTTTTTAAAAAAATCCAGTCTAGACTTGGGGTGGTGAACACAGTACAGTGTACAGATGATATGTTATAGAATTATGCACCTGAATTGTGTAGAATTGTGAATCAGTGTCACCCCAATAAATGCAATAAAAAGGGGGGGGGAGGGAAAAAAAATCCAGTGTGACAATTTTTGCCTTTTGACTGGAGTGTTTAATCCTTTTACATTTAATGTAATTGTTGACGTGGTTGGACTGACACATGCTGTTTTGCTATTGTTTTCTCTAAGTCTCAGATAGTTTTTATTCCTTCTTTACTACCTTCTTTTCTGTTTAGATATTTCCTAACGTAACATTTTAATTTTTGTTGCCTTTGTTTTACTTAAATTTTTTTCTTAGTGGTTCTACGTGAATTACGATATGCATTTTAACTAATCACAGTCTGCTTCAAAGCTGTACTAACTTAACTTGAGTAAAATATAGGAACTTCGCTCCAGTGTAACTCCTTCCCCTCCCTCTTCTTTTGTGCTGTTATTATCATACATGTTACACCTTCATATCTTATAAGCCCAACAATGCAATTTTAAGATTGTTGTTTTCTGCAGTTGTCTTTTAAATCCGTTAAGGAAAAAAACAATCATCTTTTATAGTTGCCTATATAATTACCGTTACAGGTGCTCTTTATTTCTCTGTGTGGATTCAAGTTACCATCTGATGTCACTTCCTTTGGACCTCAAGTATTTCTTCCATGGCAGGTCTGCTGGCCGTGGGTTCTTCCCTTTGTTCATTTGGGGGTGCATTTTGGGTTCACTTTTAGGACAGTTTTGCTGTACGTAGAATTCTGAGATGAGAGTTTTTTCGTCTTACCACTTTGAATGGATCATCCCACTGCTGCACGGCCTCCACTGTTTCTGAGGAGAAGTCCTTTGTTAATCTTACTGTGGCTCCCTTGTATGTGATGAGTCATTTTTTTTCTCTTGCTACTTTTGAGACGCCGTGTCTTTGTCTTTCAACAGTTTGACTAAGATGTCTTAGCTGGGGATCTCTTTGTTATCCTGTTTTGGGTTTGTTGAATCTTTTTGGATAAATAGATTCGTGTTTTTCATCAAATTCAGGACATTTTGGGCTATTATTTCTTCAAATGTTTTTTTCCTACCCCCTTTGCTGCTCTTCTCCGGGGACTCCTGTTACTCACTCGGACGCTGGTTGGTCGGGTGGTGTTCTGCAGGTCTCTGAGGCTGTTATTTTCTTTCTGTTCTTCAGGTGAGATCATCTCTATTGATCTATCTTCAGAGTTGCTGATTGTTTTCCTTCTGCCGCTTAAAGCTGCTGTTGAGCCCTCCCAGTGAATTTGCTGGATCAGTCATTGTACTTTTCAGTCTAGAATCATTTCTTTTTTATAATTTTACTTTATTTTTTATCTTCATCTGAGGATATTTTTTCCATTGCTTTTCAGAGAGAGTGGGAAGGGAGACAGAGAGAGACACACACATTGACGTGATGTTTACCATGAGCTCCTATTTTTACTGACAGAGCAGAGAGACATTTTGGGCCTCTAGGAGTTCATGTCAGTTTAGAAACAGTGTCCAGTATCCATGAAAAGTCTGACTATTTCCCTTTATTCAGAGTACAGTCACCCTGGTAAATGGGCTCCTGGAAGATTCCTGGCAGGTCTGTAGCTTGTTTCTACCTGCTTCCAACCTCCAGTGAGCCGTGACGGGGGCCTTTCCTCACTGTTTCCCCAGAGATCACTGCTGTTGTTTGTTTGTTTTCCCTTCTTTAATGGAACCCATAGCCTTTTCGTGAAAGGGCCGAAAAGGCTGATGCCCTAACCACTGATCAACCGGGCCAGGGCAAGATCACTGTTTTTGACGGCATTCGTCAGTTTCTGGAGTCCAGACGTGGTTGTTTTTGACCACTCCTCCAGTGTTGTTGCTGCTCTTGGGGAGAGGATTTGTTGCGCTCCTTTCTCTGTCATCCCAGAAATCTGCCCCCCCCCAATCTTTTTAACGGCAGCGTAATGTTCCACTTTCTGAATGTCCCACTATTTATTTGTCAGTCCTCGGTTGATGGATGTGCAGGTTGCGCCATGTTTTCCCAGGCCAGCCATTCTGCACAGAGCATCCCTGTGGTTGCCCCTTCAGCGTGTCTCTGTGCTCCCCACTCCTTCCGGGGTCAGAGCAGCCTCCACCTGACCCTCTGTCCTCCTTACCTGTGACTGTTCTCAGGGAAGACACTGATCAAGGTGGCAGAAGCCGAAAAGCACCTGGGAGCCGCAGAGCGGGATTTCATTCACGCAGCCTCCATCAACTTCCTCACGCCCCTGCGCAACTTCCTGGAGGGGGACTGGAAGACGATCTCGGTGAGGCGCCTGCAACCACTCTGCCTCCTCCTAGCCATGGCAGCCCTTCCCCAGAGCCACTGAGCAAGGCTCTCCTCCCGCGCTGGGAACCCAGTACTCCCGGGGTCTCCCCAGATGTGGCTCTTGGGGACTGAGTTACTCAGATTGGATGACCTTCCTTCTTTGGGCCTCAGTGTCCCTGTCTTGAGCAGAGAGCCCCATAGGCCAGTCCTGCCATGGCCCAGGGTGGCCCAGCGTCTCACTGTTCCCTGTTCCCCACCCCTGCAGAAGGAGCGGCGGCTCCTCCAAAACCGGCGTCTAGACCTGGATGCCTGCAAAGCACGACTGAAGAAGGCCAAGGCTGCAGAAGCCAAGGCCGCGGTAGGTGTCCCTGCCTGCCGCCCGCCCCGGCTCTGGGTGGAGCCAAGGGGGTGCTGAAGGGGCCTGGTTTCGGCAAGACCTCTCTCCCCTGTCCGTGCCTGGAGAGGCCAGGCTGGGGGTGCTGGTCTGGGCTGGCCACTTCAGGTCACACCTCTATGCCCCTGACCCCAAGGGAACCCTGACAGCCCAGAGCTCTGGGTTCCAGGGCTGACATTTATGGGGTGGGCCGACCAGCAGTGCCCCGACCTGGGCTCAGGGCACCCTACAGTCTCCCCAGACAGACACAGTTGGAGTTTCTCGCATGCCCTCGCCCGCCCTTCCTGGATGCTCAGCTCTGTTCCCAGCTCTGCCAGGGCATGGCTCCCCCTTACTAATTCCCACACCTGCCGCTCCAGCGCTGGTCCCAAGGCACCCTTGCTCAGGTCCCCCCATGATGGTGTGGAGAGCCCCGGAGCTAAACTGCCTGCTTGCTCAGGAGCATGTCTGAGGGGCCCTTGCAGGTAGCCCAAAGCAACTGGATAGGGGCTCCCCCTTCACTCCTGCTCACTGAGGCTTGCTCAGCCTGGGTGGGCCAATGGGATGCAGCGCCGGACAGTTTGATCAGGGCCAGGCCAGGGTTCGGAGAACTGGGCTCGAGGGTGAGCACACTCCAGGAATGCCAGGCCGCTCATGGGTGGAGGGGCCTAAAGGCCACCTCACACCCTGAGGAGGGAACCCCAGGTCCAGGGCATGCCAGGCTCTTGGCTGAGAAGGCCAAGCCCAGCCCAAACACCCCGCAGCTGCCCATGAGAGTTCTCCCCCGTGCGTTCCCCTCACGGTGGCCACCTGGGGCCATGGAGCTGGGCCTGCACTGCCTCTGGGTGTGTGGGGGCCAGATGGGAGGCAGGGGCTCAGCCACTGGAGTCTTGTTTGGGTTGGGTAGGATGACCTAGGGCTATTGGGATGACCTTACTAAGTCACCTGGACAGGACAGTCTCCCTGTCACTCAGGGCTGGACAACCTCTCTGGGATAACTTGGCCAAAACAAGCTCTTCCTCCATCAGCCAGGCCAGGGGAGCCCGCCCTTAGTCACTGGAGGGGCACAACCTCCTTTCCAGTTGGTTGGCCGAACACCCTCAAGCCTCGGGGATAGTCCAGGTTACCCTGTCTGGAGCTGGGACCTGGGCAGCCCAGGTGCGGGTTCCCAGAGGGCTCAAGCCTGCAGTTTGCTCCCCCGTCTCCACCCTTCTAGACACACACTCAGATCAGGACACCTTCCAGAGGGCAGGTGGTGCCTGCCCGCCTGCCCGCCTGCCTAGCGCCCCTCCCACTGGGGCCGGGGGCCTGCTCCTGCCTGCGCTGCGGACGCACTAACTCTTTGTTTTTGTTCCTTTCCATTCTGCTTTGGGTAACTTGGCTCAGTGTGAGGGAGAAGTGAGTATACCTGTGCCCCTTGCCGTGCTGCTTCTGGTTTGCCCACCTGGCCCGGGGCCCTCAGCGCCGTGGCTGGCCCGGGGTACATCCTCGGGGCCTTTTGCAAGCAGCTGATCTCCCCAGCAGAGCCTCTGCCATGAGTAGCCTCTGTTTTGGGGGGACACCAGGCATTGGAGCCTGTGAGTCAGCTTTTTGCAAATGTTGAAAGCCCGTCACTCTGTCCGTCCACACATCCATCCATCTGTCCACCTTGGTTGTGGGGGAGGGTCCTGGTCCTCACTGCAGGAGCCAGAGATGTGTGCAGAGATCCCGGGATGGAGAAAGCTGTGGGGGGAGAGGCGGGGTTTGTTCAGAAGATTGGGTCTAACGGGGGCATCTCAGTGAGACTGGGGTCCGGGGAGCAGTGGGCCTGACCCTTGGGCCCAGGGTGGATCCAGTCTGTGGCTTTCCCAGAGACAAGGGCTGTGACAGCAGCCACAGGCTCTCTCTGTCGCATCTGCTTTCCTGGCCTCCCACTTGGTCTTTGTCCTGCTCTCCGGGTCTCTACGCCCGCCTGCTCTCCAGGTGCTGGGTGTGGGAAGAGGGTCCGTGTTGTATTTGTCTGTAGCCTCCTGTCCCTGGGGCCAGGGGCTCCTAGTGCTGCTCTGTGGGGAGCTCTGGGGCGGCCTCCAGGCCCCAGCCCAGTCCCGGCCCACCGTGACCCCCTTCCCCCGTGAACTCTGTTCCCACTAGACGGTGCCTGACTTTCAGGAGACTAGACCTCGTAATTATATTCTCTCAGCCAGCGCCTCTGCGGTAAGCGCCCCCACCCCACCCCACCCTGGCCTCCCCTGAGCCCTCACACCCTGGGGTCTGCCGCACACCAGATGGGAGCCAGAGGCTAAGGCAGGGGCACCTGCCCATCCCTGGTCCCTGTGCCCTGTCACCGTGTGGCTGGCCTCGCTTCTCCCTGCAAAATGCTGGAGGTGGAGACTGGACCAGCTGCACTGAACTGTGTGGTAAACTTCAGATGGCAGCTGTCCCATCTCCAGTGGACCTGAGAGTCTGCTCGCCCCCAAACGCGACTCTGTCCCTGCCCCCCACCCCCATTCACCGTCCCTGACTGTACGGCCTGCCAGGAATTCACAGACCCCTAAAGACAGGTGACAGGGACTTTTTAGCACATCTGCTGGGTGTCATGGGGGTGAGGAGGCCTTGAGAGCAGCAGGGTGAGTGGAAGGAGCAGCCTGGGTCTGGGAATGGGGTGTGTCCGAGAAGGCCTGACGCTGGGGGGGGCGGGGTCAGAAGACTGAACGTCTCTGTATCTTTTTCCTCCAGCCCTATTGAGACACTTGGCATTTACTGTTCAGTTTGGGAAACAGGCCAATCACACATTTCCCATCATGCCTGTCACCACCGCTGTGCCTTCTGCCTCCCCTCTCCTTCCGTTGCCCCGGGGGCGGCCTCCTCCCACAGACCCTCTGGCTCCTCCTCACCTGTCAGGAGCGTGCTGCCCTGGGTATTTGTGCAGTCATTCGGTGGCCGGGCCATCGTCCCTCCGGGGAGTCAACCACAGTTTAGTCCCCGGGGCCTTGCTGCTGGGCGCCCTGCGTCGGTACACATGGAGGTGGCTTCCCGTGCTGTGGACCCCTAACCGGCCTGTGGGACATCTCTGCCCACGGGGCTGGCCTTGCCTTACTTTCCGAGTTCCAGGTCATATTGTCTCAGGGTGGCATTCCCACAGTGGGGGAGAGGACTGGGTCTCCATGCCTTGGGGGGGCGGTCTTCCTTCTCTAGACTCTGGATCACACTTCCTGCCCCCTTCCTGGGCCGAGTGCGAGGAGAAATGTCCTGGAGGGTGGGGGCTGCCCAGTTTTCTTCTTTGCTGTTGAGCCCGTGTAACTCGTGCCTGAGGCTGCCTTCCTCTGCTGAGGGACAGAAAGGTCCAGTGACTGACCCAGGGTCGCACAGTCCTGCCTCCCAGCCCAGCTGCCTTAGCCCATGTGGGAGGGTGGGGGGTGGGGGGGTGCTCGGTCTCCCTTGAGGCCCCAGTCAGTCCCTGGGGGCTTACACTATAGGAGAAACCAAGCAGGGTTTTCCAGCTGGCTGTGCCCCCTCCCCGCATGTGGCATGTTGGACTGGGCTGTGACGGTGCCCCCCCCCCTTCCAGGCCCCAGCCCAGCCTCAGCTCTGGGTGAGGTTGGGGGAGGGAGCTGGGAAGGGTATGGGTGGGCAGAGGTTGGGGTCTCGAGCTGGGGCAGGGCATGGGCTCTGGGGTTCAGCTGTCCTCCCCTGCCTGCCTCCCCTGCTGACCGGTGCCCCCTCCCTCCCCTGCTGACCGGCCCGTTGTGGTCTCCGCAGCTCTGGAATGATGAGGTTGACAAGGTGAGCGGGGGCTGCGGGGCTCGGGGGCGCGGCTTGAAGGGTCGGGGGTGGGATCCAGGCACATGGTTGCTGCAGGGTTCAGGCCTGTGTCTTTGCTTCTAGTTCTGGGTCTGCCCCGCCTCCCCCCTGGGGCTGCTGTGTGTGGGGGGTTGTCATTTTCCCTTTGTGGGGACACCACCTCCACAGTGGGCCCCAGAGGTGGGGTTTTCCCGATGGGTGGTGGTAGCCAGGTGGGTCTGGGCAGGGCTATACCTCCTGGGGGGAGGGGGGCAGGGGACAGGGCTCCAGGCCTGAAGCCCTGGGTGGGAAGTGTCCCCTGCCACTCAGCTGTCTGAATCCCCAGGGGGAACGGGCCTGTGCAGGGGAGTGGAGGAACAGGCCACTCCTTGGGGGCCTCTGTGCTGGAGGTGATGGAGGGAAGCTGGGGATGACTGTTCCTCTCTCAGTCTCATCCCACTCCTCCCAGTCCGAGCAGGAGCTCCGAGTGGCCCAGACCGAGTTTGACCGGCAGGCAGAGGTGACCCGTCTCCTGCTGGAGGGGATCAGCAGCACTCATGTGAGTCCTGTTCCCACTTCCTCCATTGTCCACGGTCTTCTCACATGTCCCCACTAAACAGCGAGGCGTGAATGAACCTGGGTCTCGGAGGCAGGGGGAAGCCTAGTGCTCGGGCTGGTGGTCCCGGAGAGGGGAATCAGCCTTGAGAGAGCAAGTCCCGAAGGGTGGGAACTCTCCTCGTCGAGGAGCAGGAGGTTGGGGCAGAAGCCACCAGAATGCTGGGCTGGGGTCTGGCGGGAGACGGGGTAGGAGTGGGTACTTCATCCTGAGAGGCCTCCGGTCCGTCATTACTGGGCCCCTTCCCCACAGGTGAACCACCTTCGCTGCCTGCACGAGTTTGTCGAGTCTCAGACAACCTACTATGCGCAGTGCTACCGCCACATGCTGGACTTGCAGAAGCAGCTGGGCAGGTGCCCACTGGGGTCCCTTCCGCTGTGCCCAATGAGCCCAGGAAATCTCAGGCCCACGGGGCAGGGTGGGGGCTGTCTGCTGAGGCCCTGCCTGAGCCCTCGCTGGTGACACTGAGGGCTGTGCAAGGGGGGTGGGAGGTGGCAGGGATGGGCCCCGGGGCGTCTCACTTTCTCTCGCTTCACTTTCCCTTTCATGCTGCCAGCTCCCAGGGAGCCATGTGAGTATCGGGGTCTCCTCCCCTGCGGTGGGCCCAGCTAGTGTTCTGGGGGAACGTGGGACAGGATATGGTTCCCGGCTACTGAGATGTGCCCCTTCCTCTCCTCTCCAGATTTCCAGGCACCTTCGTGGGCACCACAGAGCCCGCCTCCCCGCCCCTCAGCAGCACCTCACCCACCACCACCGCGGCCACCATGCCCGTGGAGCCCTCCGTGGCTGGCCTGGCCCCCCCAGGGGAGGCTGCGCTCTGCCTGGAGGAGGTGGCTCCACCCGCCAGCGGAACCCGCAAGGCCCGGGTTCTCTACGACTACGAGGCCGCTGACAGCAGTGAGCTGGCCCTGCTGGCTGATGAGGTGGGTCTGGGCGCCATGAGGGTGGTGGGAGAGGGCTGGCCCAGGGGCACCAGGGCTGGGACTGGGAGCACGGGGCTGCAGACCCCACCACTGTCTTCGTCTCTGAGGGCCCTGGGAGCAGAGCTAAGACCAGGGGGTTACTCCGGGCAACTCCAGCTCTGGGGAGGCTGGTGAGGAGGTGAACGCCCACCTCTGGAGGTGTAGGTGCCGGGCATCACGGGAATCACGACTCTGTCCCCATTTAGTCCTGGGCAGTTCCGCCCTAGCCAGCCGGGTGTGACTTCCCTCTCTGCCGTCCCCTCAGCTCATCACTGTCTACAGCCTGCCTGGCATGGACCCCGACTGGCTCATTGGCGAGAGAGGCAACAAGAAGGGCAAGGTCCCGGTCACCTACCTAGAACTGCTCAGCTAAGGACCCCCAGGCCCCTGCCTGTTCCGGCCTGGGCAGGAGAGGACGGTGCAGCCCTGCCATTTGTCTTGTCTGTTGGTGACCTAGCTGCTCAGGGTGGGGAGACTAACCCCTTCCTGGCCCTGCCCCTGGTCGTCAGCTGTGAGGGGCCCCAGAGGCTGAATGTTCCCAGCCCCTCCCCCAGTCCTGCTTCTGACCTGGTTCTGGAGTCCCCATCCTGCCTGCGTCCCCTGAGCACCCCAGTCCTCCTGGCTCCTCTAAGGAGGGGGAGCTGGCTGCGGCCGCACTCAGCACCTCAGCCTGGGGGAGGTGAGGGCCTGAGAAGCCCTGGGGCTCACCCTTGGCAAAAGAACACCTGCCTTTTAGTTGCCAAAAGCAGCGAAGCGGGAAGGCAGGCCCCGGGGACTGGGCGCCGTCCCCTCTGGATGGACTGGAACAGGGGAGCCTGGCCGGAGGCAGGGCTGGGCCATGGAGCGGCATCTCCCCGGTGCTACCCTCCCCTCGTACCCCGGAGCTCAAGCCAAGTATGGTGGCTGCAGCCCGCACCTCTCCACACTCACTTTTTAACTGATCTTTTTACTCTGCCTGTCTGCTTTGCTCTCTAGCCATGATGAATAAACGCTCTCCGTGTGCATGTCGCCTGGGGTCCTGGACCTCGCGGGCTGGCCCTGGGATGGGAGGGAAGACTTCACAGTTGCACCATTCCTCCTCCTGGGTGGGGCGTGACGTACAGAATGCTGTTGGCGCCCCTCCCGGAAGTACCGGGGCAGAGGGAAGGGAAAGCTCTAGGGCACCGCTCCCAGCACTGCCTCCCCCAGGGCCTGCTGCTCAGATGGGAGTGAGCATAGCTCCTGTCCCCAAAGCTGCAGGTCAGACATTTTATTCCCAAGAACTTTCCTGAAGTTGGGCAGAGGGCTGTGGACTGTAAAAGCTGATGGTTTAAGCTCCAGCAATGGGTAGGTGTCAGCGCCCCCTGTGGGCCCAGCACTGAGCCGGCCGTTCCCACATGTTCTGTCCTCACAGGTGAGGGGAGGTCAGAAAGTTCCCTCCTCTAGGTTCTGTAATGGACAAGTAGCCACAAAGGGACTCTAGCTCAGGAAAGTGATTCTAGAAATTTCAAATGGTGGGTCTGGGCTACAAGTCTGGTTTTGGATTAAGGCTCTTGGCCATGCCCACCCATGATCAGCCCCCCCAGGAGGCCCAAGGAGAGTCAGGCAGGGGCCCAACTACAAATAGAGGAGGGAGCAGAGCTTCAAGGCCACACCCAAGGACGAGCTTGCCAGCTGGTAGAAGGATGTGTGTGTGGCAGGCGTGGGGGGACAAGACCTGGGCGGGCCAAGGAAGGGAAAATCTGAGTCCACACAGCACCCCCCCACGAACATTCATGGCGGGGTGTTAGTCAACCGTCAAACTTTCCACCTTCCCCGAACCTCCACTCCTCTCCTGGGCCCCTGCCTAGGAAGACTTCTGGGCACTGAGAGCTGGCTAGCCATTCCTGGGCTTTGAAGGTGCACATCACACGGTTGTATATAAACAGTACTTTAATATTTGTATAAATAGACCACAGTATTACCAAAAAAACTGCAAGAACAGCATGGAAAACATTTAAAACCCGTGCACACAGCCCCTCCTGGCTACACGCAACACTGGCTCCCCATCTCTCCCCTGGGCCGAGGTTAAGTGCTCTGGGGAATGCTTGAAGGAAAGGATACACCTCTGGGGCTCTGGGGCACTGGGAAGGTGACGGGTGTGCACAGCAGACTTGTGGCTCCCTGCCCCTGCTGCTGACCTCTTGATCTATTACAAAATAATGCCAGTGTGCGGGTGGTTGGGGTTGTGGCTACTCAGGAGAGGGTGACAGGACCTGCTCAGGCCCCAACAGGCCCCGTCAGGCTGCTGGGCGGGCTGGTGGAGAACGGCAGGAGGGCCGCATGCCACTGCCCTATCTTTGCACGTGCCGGACGAAGGCCTGCACTAGCTGGATCAGTGGCTCCTGACTCTCAGGGCTGGCCTTGGAGAGAGAGGTGGACTTGCCCTGAGGCGAGAGGAGGATGCCAGCAGCAGGGGAGCTAGGGGCTCCCCTGCGGAAGTAGCGCGAGAGGCTGGAGAGCAGCGTGCTCTGTGAGAGAAAAAGCAGCCTGATGAGGCCCAGCACCCCCCCACCCTTGGGCTGGGGCTTCCCCACCGTGCCCCCCTCCAGTCAGGACCCCCTATTCCTTCGTACCAACTCTGAGCTGAGCTCCTGTTTCATCCGCTGTTTGTCCCGGGGGTGCACAGCTGGGTCCCTAAGGTAACGCATCGCCTGGGAGATGAGCAGGTAGAAGCAGTTCTCCATGGTAAACATCAGGAGGGACCTGGGGCGGGCAGGGTTGGCACAGTTGCAGAGGGCCACGCTGGCAGGAGTCAGGTGGGCCACTGGGCTAGGAGAATAGCTAACCGATGACTGCCCAACCCCAGACCCAATTATAGGAGGGCTCTTACTTCAGTGTTCGGGTCCCTTCTGCCTGTGTGCTGAGCCCCACAGCCTGAGTGAGGGGCTCCTTTTTCTTATCCAGCTGGAGGAAAAGGAAGACAGGGTAATAAACACACGAAAAAACAAACCCAGGTAGCAGTGGCCACTCTGACTCACTGAGAGCTTCCTACTTGGCAGGTCCTGCACTAAGCAATCGTATAAGTTACTCAGTTCTCACCATAATTCTCAGCAGAGGGAGGCTCTACCACACTCCTCTTACGATAGGAATGAGCTCAGAAGGCCAGGTAAACATGCCAAGGTCACAGTCAGGAAGTGGTAAACCGGGACGAAGGCAGCACCCAACTCACCTCTCCGAGCATGTTTAGGGCCACATTCACTGTGGCCAGAAGGGTCCCGAAGGAGGGGGCCACTTCAGAGTCAAAGGTGGGAGTGGTGAAGCTCAGGGCAAACAGGAAGTTGTATTCAGCAAGGTCCAGGGACTGCAAAGCAAGACCAGAGCATTCTAGGGCCTAGCTAGGACCCCAGACAGCTCTCGAGAGAGAGAGCAGGGCACAGCCAGGCCTTCGGACCACTGTGGAGGTTGGTGGCGCAGCACAGGGGGTGCTGGTACCTGGTCCAGCAGGATCTGGCAGACGTCCGGGGTGAAGTGGCGCAGGGCTGCCAAGGTCCTGCTGAGGATCTTGAGGAGGCTGTACTGGACCACGTGTAAGGCTCGCTGCTCCGAAGCCTCAGTGTCAGCAGTGGCCTGCTTGGAGGAGGAGGAGGAGGGGGCAGCAGGGGCAGCTGTGGGTGGCCGCTGAACTCGGGGGGCAACAGCTGAGGGAACACCGTCTCCATTTTTGTTCTGGAGGAAACATAAGTGGAGATGGAGCACAGAAGCCAGGGTGAGGCGTTCCAGGCAGCCACAGGGGGGAGGGGGGAGGGGGGAGGGTACCTGCAGGTAGTGCTGCAGCATCTTCCGGCTGTGCAGGAGGGAGGTGCAGGCCTGGCACAGGTAACCCAGGTTGACCTGCAGCAAACATGGGAGGCTGAGGGGCTTCTCATGATAGCAGCCTCAGCCAACTGACTAGACCAACCACACAGGTCTCTAGGGAATACCGCTGTGCTCCTGACTCACTGAGCACCTGCACACTCTGGGTCAACAGGCACCTGGACGGCTTCCCAGGGACCCAACTAAAGGCCAGGCACAACATCAGTCTTCAGTCCATAAATAAGTTGGGGATCATGTCCCCATTTTACAGACGAAAAAGGCTTAGAGAGGGAAAGTGACTTGGCCAAGGTCATACACCAGCAAAGCCAGCTGCCAGTCTGACTCCAGAACCTGTGTTCCTTCCCTGCCCTGCTCTCTGCGGGGTCCCAGCTTCAGACCTCTTCCTAAAGGTGCAAACCGAGGTCTGAAGAATAAGGCCCAGGCTTTTCATCTATGAGGCTGCCCTATGCTGGGGAGGGGAACATTTAGCTCCAGAGAAAGCAACATGAAACCATGCCTTGTAAAATTCCCTAAGCAAAATTCACTGAGGTGTCCCCGAGAGTGCCCATTGCACCCCGCCCCTAAACATCTCCCCAGGCCCCTCCAGGAACCCATGTGAGCCCCACCTGGACGTCCCGCAGGAGCTGAGGTAAGTGGAAGTGCCACTCCTTCATGAAGCTGGAGAGCTGCAGAATGAAGCCCACAGTGTGGTCCGCCTCCTCCAGGCATGCCAGGCTCTGCACTGTCCTCACTGCGCTGAGGCACTGGGAGGGGAGAGGAGGGAAAGATGGGGTGATGCAGGGACCCGACACACCTGTCCCGCCCTCCTGTGGGGAGGACAGATGTGGACCCACAAACACTGAAATGGTAGCTCAGCAGGTGGTTTGGCGTTAGGTCTGAGTGAGACCGTTTGCCTCACTTGGCAGAACTGCACAGGTTCGCCTGTCAGCCAGCAGTCCGTAGAGCACAGATATGGGGGCACTGACACCCCTCAACTACCAAAGCCTCAAGACCAGAATGGGCCCACCCCTGGTATCTCCTCACCTGTAAGGTCCGCTCCTGGTGAACACCCATGAAGTCCAGGGCCTGGGTCAGGAAGTTGTAGCGCAGAGTTCTAAGGAGCCGTGCCATCAAAGACATGGACAGGCGATAGACCCCTGGCCAAGAGGGGGCATCCAGGGACTTCCTAGAGGTGCTAGGTGTCTAAGACAAAAATGGGAGACAACATCAGGACATGGTACCAAGCAACCCAGCTGACAGGCACAGCAGGGCCTCCATGAGGCACAGCAGCTAACCTCCTGGTGGGTATGGTCGCTGCCTGGAGACCAGCAGGACCACAGAGGGTCCAAGGCCAGCAGTGACAAAGAAAGTACTAGGCAGAAATAGAAGAATCCTAAGTTTTAGACTAAGGTCTGCCACTAACTAGCTGTGAGTTTCTCCTGCTGGAGGTGGGTGGGGCAGGGAGGAGTCCAGTCATCAGTGCAGTCCATGAGCCACTAAAGAGAGCAACTTCTGGGGCAAGTGAAGGGGCTGCAGGGGCACTTCTCCGCTGGAAGTGGTCTGGCAGTCCAAGCCGCCTGGCAGGCCATGGCACTCACCTGCACTGTCCCATTGGTGCTGAGCTGGTACACACTCAGGAGGGGCAAACAAATGCTCTGGGTGATGCCGGCTCCAGCCACTGCTGTGGCTCCCTGGGAGGAAAGGACATGGAATGAGATGGGACCTGTCCTTGCAGCCGCCCGCCCAGGGCAGGGGGAGCTCTCAGGGCAGACCAGAGCTTTTGGGAGAAACACAAATAGTGCCAGAGCTTGCCCAGCACAGTTCGGGGAGGCTCCCTCCTGCCCTGGGCTTGCCGCCTACCTGCTGGGTGCGAGCCAGGGTGAGCAGCAGGTGCAACGCCGCCTCGGTGAAGTGCAGGTTCTGCTTCATGCGCAGGCTCACCTCCAGGGTGGTGAAGAGGGTTGGAAGGACGGGGAGCCTGCGGGTCACCTGCAGCCACAGGTCACCATCCTCGTCCACCTCGCACAGCTCCTTGGCCAGGTGCAGACCCAGGACACACACCTGCTGGGGCCCAGAGGTAAAGGTGGGCAGAGCAGCAGGGCAGAGGGAGAGGAGAGGCCAGCCAGCCCTGCACCCATCTCCTGAGACATGGTCATACGCCTCCTGAGTGAGGTAGGCCGGAGCACAACTCAGAT